AAAAGCTGACTCAGCATTAGACGAACTGAACAGCTGACTCAGCATTACACAAGGTAAACAGGCGTCACCGTGTCATGGTACCTGGTACCCAGGTGATCTCCATCTCCATGCCCTTGTCCTCCTGCTGCTGCGCCTCCTTGTCCTTGATGTTCTTCAGCAGCTCTCTGTAGGCTTTGATCTGCTCTTCACTTTTCTTCTTCCTCCTCCTCTTCTCCTCCTCCTCAGTGACAGTCCCTTCTGTCCAAAATAAACAAGAACTTGAATTTTCCTCGCCCCATCACAGAAGAAACATCCATTTAGTTTCCTCACCTTCTGCTGCCACCTCCTCCTCCTCCTTCTCCACCACCTCCTCCTCCTCCTCCTCACTGGATGAGGCCAGGTAGGCGCTGTAGTCCATGTCCAGCAGCTCTTGTTTGTTGAACTTCCTGTTCAGAGCCGACACGCGGTCGTGGTCCGTTTCATCCCAGGTCAGCGTCACCTGGTGTTTTCCACACAAACGTCGTGTTTTTAAAGAAAACTTCAGATTTAAGACGTTTTAATCTGCAGGTTTCAGATTAAACCAGGACTCCTGCTGGTTTTGGCTCATTTTTTTAAGAATAAGGAGAAATGATGAGAAGATCTGCAGCTGGTTGTCTCAGGTCGCAGCCGACACGTTGAACAATGATAAACAGAATAAATCTTTAAAAAGTTTAACAAGTCAACATCTGTATGGAAATAGGCTGGGTTCATAAACAATCCCTGGAGTAAATCCTAAACTGATGAAACTTTTATAACGTTTTACAGTAAGTATTAATAAAAGGCTTTGAAACTTTACACAAACAGTAAAAACAATTTCTCTTTCAGATTCAGATCAGAACAGTCAGTCTCACTCTGAACCGGAGGTCTGTGGACTCTACCGGTTCAGGAGCTTCCGTGTTTTTACCTTTGAGGTGGACGTGGCGGTCGAAGCGAACAGTTTGGGGGTGTAGGCGGACAGGTTGACGTCTGTCGCCACGTCTTTGGGCTCCTCGTCAAACGACTCGTTGTCAGGAATGAAGCTGTTCAAACAAGAAACAGACCCAGTCAGATGGATCCCTGAACCAAAATAGGAAAAGACTGGTTCCAGACAGGACCTCACAGGTCCAGGATCAGGAGCTCATGAACTGAACCTCATCAGGAGCATCCAGATGTGGGTTAACACAACACCAAGATGGAAAGACATCAGCAATGACCTCAGAGAAGCTGCTGCTCTCTGTCAATCAAGAGGCTCTGATGGACTCAGACTCCACCTGAGTCTACAGGCCTCCCTTAGCAGGTCAAAGGTCATGACCTCTTCCGTCTTCTCCACAGTGGTGGAGGGCAGATGGTTTAGGATCCTGTCAGTCACTGAGTGGATCAGCTTGGACCAAACTGGGTCCAACAGAACCATGATCCTAAACACAGCAGCTGATCTATACAACAGAACGGGTCAGAAAGAACAGAACCAAGATTTTACAATGGTCCAGTCAGAGTCCAGAATCTGAACCTGACTGAGAGCTGAGCAGAACCCTTAATGATGGAAAGAAGAGTGGACCTGAACTCCTCCAGAACCGTGAGAGAAACAGTTGAAGTCCTACAGAGAACAACTGATGGTTCTGCTGCTGGAGGAGGTTCTGGATCAGGTCTGGAACCAGTCTTTTACTGTTTTTGTCTTTTTAGAGTTTAGGACCTGCTGAGAGGACAAACCCAGGACGGTGAAGACAACATGAGACGTCTCTCCGCTCATGACAGGAAATGGTTCTGGATTCTTACCGGAGGTCCAGGATGGAGCAGCTGCTCTCGTACTCCAAGCCGTCGCACTCCTCGTAGATCTTTGCAGCCGTGCTCACAGAGTCACACTGCACCACCGCGTAGAAATACTTCAGACGCTTGAACTGGTAATCCCTCAGCTTCTCCCTGTAAACCCTGAGGAGACAAGGAGACGCAGATGTTTCTGCTGATGAAGTTCAGGAGGAAACTTCTCCAACACCAGCACCAAACTAAACAACTAGATCTGAGTAAAGCTCAGTTTAAATTCAATTCAGTTTATTTATAAAGCGCCAAGTCACAACAGAAGTCGTCTCAGGGCACTGAACAGAAACATTCATATATAAAATAATAAGTTAACGTTATTTATCTGAGCAGACTGCTTTGAATTCAACTCCATCACAGAACTCTCATCTTGAGCAAGCATGAAGGCGACAGTGGAAAGGAAAAACTCCCTCATGAGGAAGAAACCTTTAGCAGAACCAGACTCAAGACAAGCGGACATCTGCTTCAACTGGCTGGGTTTGAGAGGAACAGATACACAATGGCAGGACAAGAATCACATGTAAAAATTTCAAATGAAAACTATTAAATTTTAACAATTCATTTAAGGAAATTAGGTCAATTTGTCCTCTAGTAGTCTAAGCTTAAGGCAGCATAACAAGCCAACCCTAACTCCAGTTAAGACTCTGGCAGCAGCATTTTGGATCAACTGAAGACTTTTTAAAGAAGTATTTGGACACCCAGATAATAAACCATTGCAATAGTCCAGTCTAGACGTGACAAATGCATGGACCAGTTTTTCTGCATCATTTTTAGATCAGATGTTTCTAATTTTAATGATATTACGCAGGTGGAAGAAGGAGGTTCTAGTAATGTTTTTAATGTGGGGGATAAAAGACATGTCCTGATCAAAAATAACACCAAGATTTTTAACATTAGAGCTGGAGGACAGATTAATGCCATCCAAGGAGGGAGAAAGACTGAAAAATTTATTCCTAAGATGCTCAGGTCCAAAAACCAAAACCTCAGTCTTGTCTGAATTTAAAAACAGAAAATTTAGGGTCATTCAGGTTTTTATGTATTTAAGACATGTTTGTAGTCTAAGTAGCTGATTGGATTCAATGGGTTTCATGGACAAAAATAGCTGTGTATCATCTGCATAACAATGAAAATTTATCCCATGTTGTTTAATAACTTTACCTAATGGAAGCATATATAAAGTAAAGAGTATTGGCCCAAGGACTGAGCTCTGAGGAACTCCATGACTAACTTTGGTGTATGAAGAAGATTTATTATTTACATTTATATATTGGAATATATCAGATAAATATGATTTAAACCAATTTAGAGCTGTTGACCCCTCATGACCTCAGTAACTCCTCCTCCTCGTGACCACAGTAACCCCACCCCCTCCTGATCTCAGTAACACCTGTCATTCCACTATCTGTTACGAAAGCGCGATCCGTAGTGTACTTCCTGGCCGCACGGCTCGCCGTTTATGAATAAAAACTGTCTTAATTTACTTAGAAAAGTGCGTGCTCTATCTCCACCAATCTTCATGTAGCTAATTTATGCCACTTGTATTTCCGTTACAAATCATTGGTTAAGCTGACATTCGACGCATTAGACCTGACCCCCAGCCTGGGCTAAATGAGAAAAACCCTGCAAGATACAGAATGAATTATTTCATTATTATTCATTATTATATTACGTCTTAGGACTGATCCTCTTTACAATCTACATAGGTAATGTAGGTCAGAGCATCCCTGATGCATCCATACATTTCTATGCTGATGACACAGTTGTTTATTGTCGAGCTAAAACTGTTGAAAAGGCTTTCCAGCTTTTGCAAACTACCTTTGACATCATCCAGTCTGATTTGTTCTGTCTCAAACTTGTCCTAAATGCCGATAAAATCAAAAGGACGCTTTTTTTCAAATAGGAAGTTGGTCCCAGCAGTTCTTCCTCTGATTTCATCCTCAAATGGTGTCACTATTGAGTTTGTTGAGGCTGTGATTATCGTACCCACCACTGCACCCAGTATTCACTGGTTAACTGGACATCATTAACTTCACACAGACCCTCTCACTGGTACATTTTCATCTTTAAATCACTTCTTGGTCTGTTACCTTCATACATCTCCTCCTACATGTCACTGTGTGAGTGCAGCTACAGCGTGCGCTCTCAGGACATTATTACCTGCAGTGTCCTCTCAGTGAAAAGTGAATTAGGCAAAAGGGCCTTCTCCTACTCCGCTCCCGTTTCCTGGAATATCTTGCAAAACGATTTGAAGCTCTCGACCTTGACCTCTCAAAGTGGCTTCAAACATCTGTTAAGTTCATGGCAAGAACCAATGCAGACATGGTCCTGTTTTTAGTTTTCTACACCGCCTTATAATCTAGCTGCTTTTTTAATTTTAATTTTTGCTACTTTTCCTTTTGGTTGCCATTTTGTTTTGATTTGTTAAAAAATTTTTTTTTAAATGTATGCCTTTTTTATGATTGTCTATTGTTGTTGTTACTGTTCTCATCACTCTTTGTTAAGAAATCAGGTCTCTTGTAAATGAGTCTCGAGGCTCAATGGGATTAACCTGTCTAAATAAAGGTTGAATGAATAAACTATTTCTATGGTTAAAAAGCGCTGCTCAGTGGTGAAGCTGTGTATCATTTTAAATATGTAAATGATTTTAACAGAAATACCAGTATCGTAAATTAGCAACATGAAAATCGGCAGAGATAGAGCACATATTTTTCTAAGTAAATTAAAACAGTTCTTATTCATAAACGGAATTATACTAGTACATTTTCCTTAATCTAGCATATTCAACGGCGATCCTTGCGACCCGGAAGTATTCCTTTTAGCGAATTCGTAAATGAGCAACATTGCGGATCGCGCTTCCGTAACGGATCGGGGAACGACAACACCTCCTTGTAACCTCAGTAACTTTTCCTCCTGACCTCAGTAACTACTCCTCCTCCTCATGACCCCGGTAACTCCTCCCCATCGTGTGCTTACTTCTCCTCCTCATTGTCGTCTTCTGAGTCATCAGGAAGTGCTTTCAGCTCCTGCGGTCCCTGTGTCGTCTCCATCTTTAGCCTCTCCTTCCCAAACTGTGACGGGTAGATCTGGACAACAACACCCAGAATGCACTGCAGTTATTCCCTTCACTGAAAACATAATTCCTCCTCTGGTTCATATAAAACTCTCACATCAGTGTTTATTTATTTGTTTTTTAATCACATTGCAACAATAAAACCGGGTTTCAGAGGGTCGGGCCTCTTGGCCCTGAGTTTTGTCTTGCAGGTATGTAACGGGGGGTGTAGACAGACACTTATACTTAGTGTCAATATTTACCTGAACCAGTAACAAACTCTGAGCAGGTTTACCTTCACAGACAACACGGCGCCTCCTTTTGGGACGAACGAGCCGAACAGAACCAGCAGATCTTTAGCCTTTATACGATCCCAGTCCATGTTACAGACGGCAAGTCGAGAGGAAGCCTAACAAAAGTTAAAACAGACAAAAAGTTCAGATTTAACGAGTGTTTAAGGTTCAAACTTGATCAAACCCGTCGGCCTCCCTCCTTCTGGACGCCTCACCTCGTCGCCTCGCACAGCGTCCTTGCACAGCTCTCCCCAGTCGTGTTCGATCTCCTCTTCCTCCTGCCTCAGGATGGCGTCTGCATCATTATCATCATCATCATCTTCATCTGAACTGGTCTCGATGTTGCCCTGGCCTCGGGCCAGGTCGGGCCCACTGTCACTGTCGTCTCCAGAACCCAGATCGGACTCCTCGTCTTCAGAGCCACTGGCCTCCACGCTCTCCTCCTCTGCGTCGTCGTCTTCGCTGTCGTCTGAAACACCGACTCCCAGATCTTCACCTGCAGACTGCTCCTCTTCCTCATCTTCATCACCTGTGGAGGGCATGAAGAGTCAAGTCAGCAGAGAGGAACCCGACCCGTTTCCTGCAGGAAACAGAACCAAAGCAAACAGCTGAACTGTTCCGGGAGGACGGCTTTGACTTTAGCTGCATTTAGACCTTCAGAAACTCAAAGTGGATTCTGTTTAATCCACAAGAAACACGCTGACAGAACATCTCGTCGGAGAAGAGAAACCTCTGAATAAAACGAGTTGCGCATGTCCATACGAGCGTGAACGTCTGTCCGAACGAACGTGCGCGGCTGTCTGCGTATTCGAGGCGTCATTTTAAACAGTTTAAAGTCTAAATGATAAAAGTCGATGACATCACAGACGCTCCGATGTTTAACCTTCAGTTTGATCAGTTGGTTTTTCAAAACAGGTCAAATGATTTTTATGTGATTAATCAGCCTGAAATAGAAGTTATGGATCATTAATATGAGTCTGGATGAACTGAAAGAGAAAATGAAAACTTTTCTCACCCTCTTCATCAACACGGACCTTTGGTTCCGGCTGCTCTGTTTTAGGTTTAACTTCGATTGCTCCTCTCCTCGCTCCTCTCTCAGGCTTCCCTTTCTTCTTCTTCTTCTTGTCCTTCTTCTCTGCAGCCTTCGAACCCTCCTCCTCCTCCTCTTCGTCAGACAAGTTGTAGAAGCGCTTCAGGTCGTCCGTGGAGCAGTGGCTGAAGGGACGTCCTCGCTTGTCTACCGTGTACTTCACCTTGAAGCGCTCGTCGTGGAACATGGACTTGAAGCGCTCGTCGATCTTGATTTTGTGCTCCTTCTTTGGCATCTCCCAGAACCTGGGATCCTTCTGGACCCGGAGGAACCGCTCATCTTCCTCCAGCTTCTTCTTGGACGACATGGCGAGAAAAATCAAACCTCCGCCTGCCAAGAAAAAGATGAGGACAAAAAGTCAGAAACTAGAAGACAAGCAGAAGAAATGATCTCCTTTAATTAAAATCAACAACTATTGATTATAAAACCAATAGCGGGAGGAAATGTGTCATTTATTTACAATAAAGCTGATTAAAATGTTATTTTTCTGTGAAAATGTTTGTTCAAGCAGCTGACACGATGGAATAATTAATATAAACCGTATTTAGGAACAAACAAAATGTTAATATTTGCATGTTTCTCAATAAAAACTCAGAAACTATGAGCCGAACCTCAGAACTTTCCATGAAGAAGAGAATTATGAGCAAAGAGGAAGAACCCATGAAGCCTGGTACCGAACCGGGCCGAAGTTCTCTAAAACTGAAGGATAAAGCACTGGAGCTGGTGGAGACCCTGTGTTGACTGGTTAACTGAATTAATCTGAACATTAAAGTTCTGTTTACCTCCCAAACACGAAAACAAGGTTCGGTTCGTTCCGGAACCATCAGAAATATAAAACAAACTTTCTGTGGTGAAATAAAACCATTTTAACAGTTCTTGTTTGTTTGTTTTTGTCAGAATAACGAGTTTCTGGTGTAAAACAACGACAGGCAGAGGCAGAAATCTTCACAAATATTTTCCATCATAGAGCTAAATGTAAACAAAATGTTTGTTTACAAAAAGCAGGTAAATACAAACAACAAGTCGTCAGCTTTCCGTAAGTGAACAGTCTGAAAATAGTTCCAAAAAGAAACTAAAATAAAAAGGTAAAGCTACCTTTTGCTCTTCGCTACTTAAAGCACGTGTTTTCCCAGCATGCACCTGTGCTCAGTCTCCTCTGAGGCCACGCCCCTGATTCTGTACGGCAGGCAGAGTGGGACAAAAAACGAGCAATGGCGACTGGCTAACGCGCTAATAACAAAACATAAACAATCGGAATAATCTCTCTTCAAAGAGAGTTCTTTATAATAACAACACGTAAATATTATCGCAAAATATTTAGTTCTTAATATGGATGGATGTAAATTATTTCTTGGATTTAGTCTTTTTTTTATCAGTTGTAGTTTTGATGTTTGAACTGATAGCTGCAGAGAATCAGACGCTATTTTTGTTCTCTGAAGAAGTTTGACGTTTTATTTTTTAGTATTTTATGCAACATTAGAGGGTAAACATTAATGCACTGATTGAAAAAAACAGCAGATAGTTTTGAGCAGAAGCAGCTGCAGGTTTTGGTTCTGGTCCGTGTCCCGTTTGAGATCCAGTTCCAGAGTTTTGGGGGATCCATGTCATGTTTCTGTCCTCCCACTGAGGTCTTTCGTTACAGAGACAGGAAGGTTCGAGTCTGCAGACATGATGGAGGTTCTGACAGATTAAAGCAGCATTATGAGCAGCAGACTGGGACAGAGGGTCCTGCAGACCGCTTGGATCAGGACCTTCTGGGACTGCAGGCTCCAGGCCGGGGCCAGGTCCTCCTGGGACTGCAGGCTCCAGGCCGGGTTCAGGTCCGGACTCAGCAGGAGCCTGTCAGGGTCAGCCAGGGGCACCATGAATGTGTTCAACAGAGAGATGAAGAGGAGGCAGAGAAACTGGTCTGCGTCTCTGCTGGACCACCACGTGTACGACTACCTGAAGGACGAGGTGAGAGGACCAGAGACCCCCTGACCTTTGACCTTTCCCCCCAGGTGAAAGAGACCCAGACTCCTGCAGGTGTCTCTGTGTCCTTCTGACTCACTTCCTGTCCATTCATGATTCTACCTGTTTTTTCTTTAGTTTTATTTACATTATATATTATTTTTAAGTATTTTTATTATGTAATATACATAGTTTTAATTATACATTTTATTCTGCATCCTTTAGTCTCTTTGGTGTTTTTAAATGAGCTCATCTTGTCTGTGTGGCTTCAGGTTCTGAGCTTGATGTATTTTCCATTCAACAAAATAAAAATAAAAACATCCTCCTGCTGCCCTGGGGTCAAAATGACCCGACGCCTCCTGGTTCATTTTGACCCCAGGGCAGCAGGAGGGTAAAATAAACATATTTTGAAGGGCTTACTTCCAGAGGAGTGTTCTGACTGGCAGCGGGCTGACTGTAGCAGCTGCTGCCGCAGCTGTGCCTCTTTCTTGTCAGGACTCCTCAACGGACAGGACGGAAAATAAAAACATCCCCGGGAATTGATTAGCTGTCAGCTGACTGATCGGTTTCTGTTTGAGATGTTTTGTAGGTTGTAGGACCCTTCAAAGTTTCTCTGCTCCTCTTGCATCATGGATGTGTTTACACATTTACCTGTACACATGTTTACCTGTTTACTTGTTTACATAATCAGGACCACACCCCCAAATACTTTCATAGTTCTGCTACTGATGGTCAGCGTTCAACTCGTGTTTTGGCCCATTCCACCTGCTTGTTGTTGGATTTGGTCCTGTGGTTCTGACATTGAACCGGGTCAACTGGGCCTGTGGTTCTGACATTGAACCGGGTCAGCTTACTAAAGAACTGAGAAGAAATAAAACAAAATGTTGTTTTGATTTCAGAGATGAACATTAAAGTTTGTTGTTTTGCAGGTTGGGAGTCAAGTTGCTGATCGGGTTTTTGATATCACAAGGTGAGTTCATGACATCATCAGGTGAGTTCATGACATCATCAGGTGAGTTCATGACATTATCATCATCCACGTTTATGTTAACAAACCAAAACTAAAAATGTAAGAATAAACTTTAGTTTGTGTAAATGTTCAGAGCTGATGGAGTTTTGTCTCCTGATCAGAATCCACCATCAACACAGGACTATTGTTGTTGTTGTTGTTTGTTCTGTTTTCTATTTACCGTAGTCAAATCAGGTGTTGATAAATTATCTGCTTTAAAGGGATAATTCACATCTGCTGACAAGGGTTTTTAATAAGAAAGTTTATAAAAGTAATATCTTACCTGCTACAGATGAACAGTCAATATCTTACCTGCTACAGATGAACAGTCAATATCTTACCTGTTGCAGATGAACAGTCAACAT